CCTTGCACTTGTTGGTGTTAAATCCCATCCTATTCTCATCCGCCCACCCCTGTAACCTGTCTAGGTCCGATTGCAGCCCCTGGTGGGGCTGTGTACCTCCTGGGTTAGGTGGAGGTCCTGCATTCTGGCTAGGAACCTACATGAGCGGTCAGACCTGGTTGACTGCTCTTCCCAGCAGATGTCCGGAAAGTTCAGGTCACCCATGATGACCACAACCTTTGACCTAACTACCTCCATGAGGTGACTTAAGAACTCCTGGTCTAGCTCTTCTAGCTCTTCCCCATTTACTGGAACAAGATCATTTTCAGAGACGTCTTAAATCAGTTTATATACCTACCTGCTGCTTTTTCTATAAGACTTACTATTGCTTGGATCTGGGAGGATCAGATTTCTTCCCTCTTCCTTCCCAGCTAAACCTGCCTTCCTTATCACTGTGGCACAGCTTAGTGACCCTTGTTGCCTCTTTTCTGAGAAGCATTTTAACCATTAGCTGATCTCTAATTCTCTGCCTAATAAAAGAGCAGTGTTTTAGAGCTTGGTTTTACCACTTGTAATTGGATGCTGCTTATCCTAGGAGCCATAGCGTTGCCACGTTTCATCCCACAGTTCCCATTAAATTGGACCAGTATTCAGCAAAATGTGTGGCTTTTTTTGCTTTTTTTTTTTTTTTGGTGGGGTGGGGGAGGTTCTTATGACCCAGTATAAAAAACAGCTTCATTTCACTGACCAGGTGAATTGATGCATCTCAGTATTCTTACAAGCCTACTCCTACACTATAGTGCTACTGCATACCAGCCCTGCTTTCTTCTGAGTCCTTTCTCCTTATCGTTCATCTTGACCCAGTCAGGTCACAACCTCAGATTCTTGTCACATGATTCTCAGCTTTTTCATAGCTACAAGCTTCAAATTTAACGGCCATTTGATTTGCAGGTTTGATCCTCTGTTGAAAGCCAGTCTTACTCTACTTGATTGATTATCTGCCTTCATCCCATGCTATTGCATTGTGAGTTGAAGCATTGAATTAACCCTTAATCTTTACTTGATTAAGTGGAGCCTGCAGCTGTAGCCACCAGTAGAGTTTATCCTCACTGTTTTCTAGAGTTGGCTTTGGCTCAGTTCCGGAGTGCTTTTCAGTGCCTTGCTTTCCCAACAGCATTGCCAAATTTGTCTGGCCCTGTGTATTCCTTAGCGATTCTCATTTCATTGCAGTAGCTCCAAGACAGGATCTGTCTTATTTCCTGTGATAGCAGTTGGGGAATAAGTTCCCAGTATGCGTTTGGCCTTTATAAGAAGCCCTATAAATGGAAGCTAACCTTTTATTTTTAGTAGCTATAAGAGGAAGACATGAAATTTTGGCCCTGATTTTGCCCATCTAAACTAATTTTGAGAGATTGGGTCAGAATAAAATTTGCTGTGAAGCTCCCACCAAGAACAGCAGTTTTGTAGATGGAACTTCATGTTGATATCACTATTGGAAAGATTGCCAAGGAAGAGGATTTTTGGTGTTGTAAATTATCTTGAGATGTGTAGCTCCTTTTAACACTAACTTTCTCTTCCAGGGTAAATATGACAATAACTTGTGACATCTATATAGAACGCCCACATGATGGTGGTGTGTTCATTGCAGGAAGAGTAGATAATGGTGGAATATACGTTAGACGTACCAAAGGAATATTCTTCTGGGTGTTTGCAGATGGTACATACCGAGTCACTGGTGATCTTGGTAAGTAGTTTGTTACTAACAAAGACACTGGGTGGGGAGAGCCATTTAGGAAAAGCAAGAAAACCTTGAATGATGCTGAAGTTCCTAGTAGCAGTACTTGCAATGTAAACCCACAATCTTGTAATGCTGGTCATTTTCCATTCAAGTGGCTTCTGCAGCCAACTGACTGGCACGTAGCTTGTTTTGATCATTAGAAACATTAATGTCCAGACTAGTTGGCTCCAGGCCCAATTTCCTCTTCACAAAGGTATCCTAAACAAATTAATTCTAATCATTCTTACATCTGTGTAGATAGTGAAGTATTATGAGGATTCCTGTAGAGAACTCCTTTAAAAATAAAAGTTGTCATATTAAATGCAATAAATTATACATGATATAAATATACATACATCCTACATACACTGCAAGTGTGAGTTCTGCAGTATCTGTTGTCGCATCTTCCTTGGATATAGTTAGATGATGTGTTCTACTTGCAATTTCATACTAACACACAGGAGCCTTCACCAATACAATCCTTGCTAGACCTGTGAAAGGGAGTATAACATGATGGAATTGGACTGAAAGCATCTTTTTAAGTTTTTTAGAAATAGTAGCAGTGTTTATTCCTGTCAGTGTGTTTCATACTGCTTTTGCATATAAACTGGATTTTCAATAAGTTCTGGAAACTAAAATGCAGTTGCAAAATACTGTAAATGTTATACAGTATAAATGATATACAAAGGAAACTTAAAATAGTACAGTTTTTCATAGTAGTGAACCTTAAAAAAAATAAATGACTTCTTCTGTATGGCAGAAGTTGCTTTCTATATGTGGGCTTTTGTATCTTTTTCCCTGTTTCAGACCCAGCCAGAGTTTAGGGTAGAAATTTTGGGAGTGTTCCTTTGTCCTAACATCATGTGGCATTGTGCAAGATCCAGAAGCTACCTTTACTTTACTTTAATAGGAACCTAAGCAGTACTTGTTGCTGAAATTTTATCCCAGGAGTGACTGCATTCATGATTTTGTTAACAGTTCACAGTAACACTATCCAACCACTGTGATTACAATGTTGAGAAAAGGATTCATCCAGATGATGAAGTAAGGGGGTTTTGGTTGGCATGACTTTAAACTGGAATTTGGCACTTATTATGTTTAATACACTTGTGCTATGGGAGAATATTTGCTATTTTCAGTCGATCAATAATAGTCAGGTCATCAGTTTTCCATCTTGTCTAGAAGATGTTTCCAGGTGATTAAGTAAAGCTTAACACCAAACCCAATGGTTCAGTTAAAATTCACAGGAAAGTGCTGTGTATTTGTATCATTTACCCTTAGAACACTTGGTTGTCTCCTGAGATTCCTGTCCAAGTACTTGCACGTAAACCCATCAAGAAGCATATCTTTGTGATCTAGATAAATATTTAACTGTGACATTTTTAAAGAACTTTATTTAAACACTCTCTTCCTTTTTTAGCATATGATTGGTAAGTAGACACTTGTATTTTGACAGCAGTGGAGTTGATAGCAACTTCTACTGCCAACCTGCATCAGTACTACCAATCAAAGTATCCTAATCTCAGGTTGAGTCCCTTGAGACATCTGAAATCTTCCCAGGTTAGCCTAGCCAAGCATGATTGCTCAGATGTTTTAAACCTGCGGCAATCTATTAAGGCCTTGTTTCTTTTTTTCATACTTCATACCTCATTGCTGCAGTTGAAGTCCAGTAGAAATTGCAGATTCTCAACATCTCTCAAAAATGCACATTAAACTCCCAACCAGTCAGTAAATTCAAGCCTCTTGTACAATGTACCTATGTATTTTCATCCCAGCTACTGTAACACTGTACATTTATTGCAGCTAGAAAAGTTGTTCTGATGAAGGGGCTCGCTGGTGTCCGAGACAGAACTTGGCACACACTCACTCTGACTCTCAAGGTAAGGATGAAGGAGAGGCTTACAACTCTGTTTGCATCAATCAGACTGGCAGTTCAGTAGCAGCAATCAAAACACACATGAAAATACTAGTATTTTACGCATACAAACCATGAGTCCCCACAATTACCCTAGTGAAGGAGATATTGAACTAGTTTTGTAGGTGGCTGTGCTGAGTCAGAGTGGCCAGTACCAGGCAAGGGAGTTGTTGTATATTGGGTTTGAACTATGCAGTCTAACTCCCTGAAGGGAGCACTCTTTAGACTGTATTGCATGACGTTCCTGGGTGTCGGAGTAATTCTGTATTGTTTTCCATATCATCAACTGATCTGCCATCACCTATATCACAGGCCTTTACATTTCTCCCAGTTCTGAGTTGACTAAGGATCTGCACACACTTACTTCAGTACAATTTTCATCTTTTGTATGCCACTAAAATACACCAGGACTGAAATGAACAGACAAATTGTGCATTTCATTGTGACAGCTTGTTACAGCATCTTGGCACTGGTGGTATGAATAATAGCCTTTTTCTGCATTGAATAAAAATCTACCCCGAAGCATGCGTTAAACTCAACCATTATGCTGCATGTAACTTGGGTAATAGAATTGAAGTGGTGATGTAGCCATGGTGGTGCAAGAATATGTAGGAAGCATTTTTTTAAGGCAATATCTTTTTATTGGACCAACTGTGTAGTTGGGAGACCTGAAGTAGAGCACTCTGTTCCTGAAAGTTTGCCATCATCTCTCCCAACTATGCACTTAATCCAATAAAAAGAATCCCTGAAAAATCCCTGAGTTCCTATGGAACTCCTTGACTCTGTCAGGAGTAATACTACATAAGATTGGATGAAATTACATCAGCATGTGCATTCACATCTTATCTGCTCCTTCTTTATTCCAGTATAAAGATCACCCTTGCTAAAATGCCACATGTTTGGGCTCTAAAACACTTTTCAGGAAAGCAGATATTCAGCCTTGAACTGAAGGCTCCAAAAGATGGACAAACCCACCATTTTCCTGCGTAGCTTAATCCAATGGTTAAAGCCCTTTTACCTTTTTAAATTCTACTTAGAAATTACTTAAGCTTTAGCTTCCAGCCTTTAGGTTCTTTATTATATTTTCCTACTAGGCTGAAGAACTCTTTAGCATCTGATAAATTTCCCTGTGAATGTACTTAAATAATGTGACACAGTCACTCCTTTTGGGTCTGCTAAAGCTTGACCTCTTAAATCCCTTGTGGCAAAGTATTTTCTCCAGAGTTTGAGGCATTGTTACAGCCTGCATGGCCTTTACATCCTTTCCAGATTTTCAGTTACTTTTTTAAACATAGACACCACAACCAGATTCAGTTAATAGCATAACAAAGGACAGGAGAGACCAGGGCACTGGTCCAATGCACCAACCCTGGTGTTGGAGGTACAAAAATAGCAACAGCTGCTCTGGCTGTCACCACTGCCATTAGCACAGCCACTGATGCCACTCTGTGTGCTACACTGTACCAAGTGCTTAAGTATCCAGTTTCATCTCTGGATTTGGTATTCAAGTACTGGTCTCATTGATATTATAGGCAGCTGAAGGGAACCTTTCTGCTCCCCTGTTATATGTCTGCTTGTTGTAGCATCAAGCAGGGAACCTGCCTCACCACCCATAACTGTTTCTAAATTATCCTTCATTGTGGGAAGTTAGCCATTTTGAAGCACTCAGTAGATATTACTGAATGGGATGTGCTGTTCCTGAATAAAGGGTTCATTCAGCCAAGTGCAGAAGGAAATCAGTTTGACTAGAATCCACTACCCATTTTTTAATAACAAACTAAAGGTTTGGTGGCACTTCTCCTTATCTTGCTGAATCATCAGCATTTCTTTAGACTGATGCAGTCAGTTGTGTGGTTTTGATTTATCTTCCCAGTTGATTGCTATCAGGTTTTCTGTAACCTGTAGCAGCAGGATTTTTGTCCTCAGACTTTTGTCATTATACCTGGCCTATCTCTGGAAAGGATCTCTTTAGGTAAGCAATGCTGGAAATGAAGCCAGCCCTTTTTAAATTTGTTATAGTTGTCTATGTCAGCATGGTTTACTCGTAATGGAGTAGATATGTTTCACTTTGTGGGTGTCAAAATCATAGCTTATCTTCAGTCTTTAGAGTTAGAGAGAAAGGGATGATCCTGTGGGTAAGGGAGTGATTTCTGAATTCAGCTTTTGCTAATCTACACTTAAATCTCACACAAAGTGTTGTTACAAAACTACAGGCAGGCCTTACCCATGGTTGTATTAGCCCTCTTGGTTAGCAAATATGAATGTCAATTCTTGAGGTACTTGGTGTGAATTTTCTTACCACTGTCTAGTGGGAAAATGGTATCAGATAATACTATGATTTTTATATGATGGAGAACTTGGTATTAATGGCACCATCCTATTCCAAAGCTCATGAAGTTTTAATTAAAATGGTATCCACTCTTGTTTTTTCTATTTCAATCTGTAGAGCCAACATAGTGCTGGTGAAGTAAGGTGGATTTTATTCTTCCGTGTCACAAGTGGGAATTGTTTGCAGTTGGTTCTGTCTATGCATTTTCACTGAAGGCAAAGGCTTGCTCATGAGAGGCTGGCCAGCAGGCTTTTGCCCAGCACAGTGCACTCTTGTTATGACTTTAGAGGATGTTTCAGGTTAACTTGGGGCAAAGATACACCTCCAACTTAGTCTGTCAAGCATTGGAATGATCCAGTAGGTCATGATGTTCTGCTAGCTGCCAAACTAAGATCACAATATTTGCCTGATACTATGGGCAGGCTAACTGGCACTTCCAGGAGGGCTGAATGGTAGGTGTGGACATGTACAGTCAACCTAAAATCCAAGGATAAGGCTGCAAATTAGGAGCAGTATGCAAGATGTGAACATGATTTGGCGCTAACTATGCGGATAAACATGGAAACATATGGTGAAGCATTTCAAGTTGTTTTGCAGTGGAAGACATGACGCTTCACACTTCCAGAGTGCTTTGAAAAAACTGGCTGACTCCCCTAATGTCTCTTCTAAAGTGATATGGACTTGTGTATTTAAATTGACTTGCAAAACCTAACTCTTTACCCCCTCTCACTACTTTTTTTTTTTTTTTGACAGGGGTCTTCTGCTTCAGGGTGGCTGAATGGCTATCCTCTCTGGGAGAATGTCCCTGCATTTAAGCCAAGTAATGGATGGGCAGCTATTGGCACACGTTCGTTTGAGTTTGCACAGTTTGATAACTTCCATGTTGAAGCCACTTGATGTTTCTGGTCCACTGAGAAGCTTGTTCTCCTATTACTACTTTTTGAAGCCAATTCATATTGAAGGCAATTTTAAAATGATCATTTAAAATGCTGTTTTGAGGTTTATCTTTTGGCAGGAAATCTGAATTCTGTCCTATTTTCTAAAAATATGCCTGCAAAGGAGTAAGCATGTCAGTAAATTAATCACAAAGGTTCTCTGATTTTTTTTTTTTGTTTTGTTTTTATCCTGGACTATCCAATACTAAATTTTGGTTTAAGATAGAGATGAGATCCGATTGTGGGTGCAAATCTTTTTGCATGTTGAGATCTGAATTTCCCAGCTTACTCAAGCTATTTTAACAGGTTAAAATGCAGTACATAGAAGTCTTTTTAGAGCTTCAATTTTAAAATATTTATATGGTTATGGCACCAACTCCCTTCACCCTTCAGATGAGAATCAAATACTAGATAATAAAATGAATCTCTTTGTCAAATGACAGGGTTGTTCCCATTTTCCCTTTCAACAAAGTACTTGGTTGCATTATAATATGAAGACACTTTTATATGTCCCCAAAAGTAGGCTGAAGCCGAGGCTGAGGAAGACGTGACTCAAGTGCATCAGAAGTAATTTTCACAGGTGTAGATGAGACTATAAAGGCTAGAAGTGAAAAAAAGTCTAAAGACATCATCATTCAGCAGAATGAAAAACACTGATCAGGCCCTTTAGGAAGTGCCTTGTTTTTAAACTACCTCTTCCACTAACTTTCAACTTGCTACATTTTCATTAGTAGAACTGGAAGTCTACTTTAGCTGGCTGGAACCTTTCCTTTGAATCTTTGTTTTGCTTCTTAAATTAGTTACTTTTCCCTTACACCCACCTGGAAAAGCAGATATCTTGATGTGTGCCAGGTGCCCAGATAATACAGGGAAGAGCTCATATATAAATACAGATGAGCAATTCTCTCAAGTATTTGACTTTGGAAAATGTTGGTCTGCTGGGTGATAGGGAAAACTCCCCCTAGCATACTGCCAAAGCAGTGTGAAATGAAGAGGTCTCATTCCAGATGGAGATGATACAGCTCTGGATATTGATAAATGTAACACCTTTTTTTTTTTCCTTTTCATGTTAGAGTAGGACTCTGAAGTAGGTCACCTGAAAGAGTTGCCTGTGTTCCTAGAAGTTTTTGAGCATCTTTCACATATAACGTGATGCTCTAAAGACTTGGATTTGATTTTTACTTTTGTTTTAGTTGCATGCATTGCTGGTGTTTTTGTATTAGCATTGTGCCCATGAGCCTCAGTCATGCATTGGGACTCCATTGTACTAGGCACTGCAAGCTTAGAACAAAGTGAGCTTCTGGGCTAGAAAGCTTACAAAATCAAGTCTGAGATGGCAGATGGATGACAATAGACCAGGGACAAGGAAACAATGGGACAATGTTTATTTGCTTATTTAGCAGTTGTATGGGCGCAATAACAAGTAAACTGAAGTTCCAAGAGGGATTTGAAGGAAGTTATCCTTGAGGGAACAGACTTTAATTATGCTTTAATATTTCTACTTTCCAAGTGACTGCATCAGCTGTGGAGTTTATCCTTTTCAGGGTGGATCAGATCCTGAAGTATAGAGTGAGATGTTTGTATTTTGCTACTCCAGGCTGTGTTTCTGGCATTGTATTTCTATTTGTTGTTCTACTGGGGTCAGTTGACTGGAAGGGACTTCAGGTGTTATCTAGTCCAAACCCTACACAATTCCTAAACCATCCCAGGCATACCTCTTTGTCATCTTAATACCATGGGGAAATGGACATTTGTCTTGTCATGATATGAGGGAAAACCTTCCAGTTCTGCTAATTGACTGACATTTCATATTTCACTTCTGTTCTAACTGACAAACTCCTGAGTTGTTAAGGTGCTGAAACCTATACAAGCTTACTTTCAATAGGGCTGTCTCTTGTTTTGAGAGGCAGACCTAAACACAGAGTACACTTCTGATCTACTCTTTGCTAAAAGATGCATTCTGCTAAACAGCTGATTGTTCAGTCCCTGAGTGGTCATTTAAAGCAGGCCACTTTTCAGGTTCATATTTTGCAGTTTGAAGGTGGCAAGTATTTTGGCAATTGCTTTTAGAGAGAGATCTCATGATTCATCACACTAGAACTAGAGTAGTTATACTGACACTTCTAGTGGCTAGGTGTATGTAAAGCATTGCTTATAAAGAGTCTCATACATTCAAGTAACTTTTAAACAATAAGCTAGGACATTAACCTTTAAAAAAAAAAAAAAAAAGTAAAACAGTGTCTCTAGTTGTAATCGAACTCCTTTTTTTAAATGGGTGAAAAATATTAAGCTGAAACTAAGATGTAAATAATAACTGTCCTATTTCCAGACAGACTTAAATGGGAGCTCAAATTTTCAGTTCTAAAAAATTGGATCACTTTTTAAAAATACATTTAGGCATAACTTAAGTTGAAAAATGTTCAAGCCAAACTTAAAAGGGAACTAGAAGTCCTTTTTTTTTTCTGACAGGAGATTTGTGACAGATTTCTTGGTATCTCTGGCTAAAGGCTCAGTTTGTGAGGATGAGGGACCATCGATAATGTAACTGTTCCAAAGAAAGTAGATCAATTTTGAACTCTTCCCCATCTCCCCCCCTTTCTTTTTTTTTTCTTCTTTTTTTTTTTTTGCACTAGTTTATGACCAGTTGTACTGTCTTTATTGTGTGCTAAATGTATTATACATGATAACTGGGAATATTGTTTTTTATAGTGTTTATTTATAAAATGAAAAATTGGGGAATTCAAATGTTCGATTTTCATGAAAACTGTTTTAGTGAATTAATGTTGCATACTCATCTTGCGCATCTTTTACCTTCAGTAGACTGCAATACACTTGGCAAAAGCAGATAAGCTGTGAAATGTTGCAGTGAGGGGCAGATGTGTGTGTTTGATTATGAATACTAATCATTCCAAATGAGCAAATAAAGCACTTTAAAAATCTTTATCTCTGCAGAGTGAGTCTGTAAGTAGGTTTTGGTATCCTTCAGTGAGAAGGTTGATAATATTTTATATGTGATTCCCAATAAAGATGCTTGTCATCAGGTTAACTGGCCTGGAATATTCTGCTTCTGACACTTTTTTCTAATGACTTAACAGTCCTCATTAACAAATCTCTCCAGAAGATACGTACGGCTTAGTGCTTGTATTATTGATGTGATATTCTATAAGCAAAGTGCCATTACTCAATGACAGTGAGGATACGCTTAAATAGTGCGTTTGTCTTTCTAGCTCCTTGCCAATCAGTATTAAAAGTCCTTGGCTTTCATAGGGTTAACTATGAATTACCCACAGCTTTCACATTTTGATTCAAAGGAGGGTAAAAATATCAAACTATAGCTTTTAAAGGAGAACAATTCCCTGAAAGGCTTGACCACCCGTTTTCCAGGATATTGAGTCAGTAGTTTGCATTATATTCCCAATAAAGGGCATTTAAGGTGGCTGAATATTCTTGGCCTTCTTGACAAAGTTACTGTTGGAGGTGCAGCTAAACATTGTCACAATACACATCTTCATTAATACAAACTCTGGACTGAAAATCAATTGGTGTACCATTCCCACTGACAGGCTCTGGGTTGATGGACTACAGGACCTGTATGAACTGGGGTGGGTGTACTCACTATGCATCAGAATCATGGAAAATTAGGGTTGGAAGGGACCTCAGGAGGTCATCTACTCAAACCCCCTGCTAGGTCATCCCAGCCAAGTCTCTATCTACCCAATTTTTTAAATCCTCTAAGGATGCACACTGCACAACCTCTCTGGGTAGCCTGTATCACAGTTGGGATTTTCAAGTGGTCTAAGGCAGGTCAGCAGCCTACAGCCCATGGTCAAGATCTGTCACATGAAGAGATTTTTAACTGCCCTGTGAAGTATATTCTGCCATTATAGCTCACTAGTTGGTTTTAGATGGTGACAATGTGCCACCTGGTGGTAAAACATCTTAACTGCTGCCTCTGGCCCACCCTAGGAGTGAACTGTATCATTTGGCTGCTGTTAGTGAAAGGCTGCTAACTCCTGCTCTATTTTGGGTCTGCCTAGAATGCTGGTGTCACGTCTTAGATGTTTTCATGCTACCAATATATTCAGATGTTTAACTATCAAGATCAGCAGTTAGCAACCATTTTAGCTGGCAGGCTGGAGTGACCAAGCTTGAGTTGGGAATGGGGAGGGAAGGGGATGCTAGGCCCAGCTGATGCCTCTGCTTTTCCCTATGGTGGCAGGGGGAATGCTCTTGCAGAAGGTGCTCTTCTCTGTGGCAGCCCGGGAAAGTAACTGACTGCTGCTGAAGAATCATGGTTTAATAGTGTGACAAAGATTGGGACACAAACACTAAAGTTCTTTGTAGAATAGATTTTGTCCACACTGAGAAAATATTACATGGCAACTTTTAATTCCTGGACTTACCAGGAGTAGAATATGACAGATGCTTAGCTAGTATCACACCAGTCAGTGTTATAGGTTCATTCTGGAGGCAATCTTTATGTGCAGTTTGAACACTTCCATAGTCCTGCTTTCCCTCCTTCCCTTCCCACCCCAACATACTCCTTCCATTTCTCATTGGGCTTCATAATAAGTATGTTTAAGTATCCTGACAAACGTCCTATTCTGTAGTATCAATCTTTTTAAAAGAAGGCCAAGAATAATCCTATACAACAAGTGTATAGCATTTAATGCCTTCAAGTGCTAGTCATGTGCCTAGCTGTGCTAAGTGCTGTGGAAACACAGGACTAAAACAAGTATTTACCTTGGACAGCTTACTGGCTTGAGAAATGCTGGTTTATCTCTTGCTTGAGGATAAGCAAAAGATCATCAATGGATGTAGGGTCCAAACATCAAATTCTTTAAGAGGAGCAAAATAACCTTGCAGCTATCACATGAAAGCACAAGTGATTCACCACTGTACACCTGAAGTAGGGCTAAAATACATAAAGAAATTTAAGTCAGTAGCAAAAATAATGTACACATAATCAGCCATTGTGTGTGTTATGTGCTTGTTTTCCTTCATCATCCTTTCTGTTGTTGGTGTGGAGTGTACAGCTTTCCCTGTGGGGTGGGAGGTTGTCTGCTTGCTTCTTTTGTTTTGTTTTATGTTATGGGCATGCTACAGGAATGCTACAAGTTGAGCAGTGCCTCACTGGCAAATCTGGATTACAACTCAGGCCTGTGCATTCTCCATTGTTCTGCAGCTACAAATACTAGCCCACCTAGAAATGCTTAATTAATATGTCTCTGTCCTGAAAATAATCTTTCAGTTTTTGATAGTGTCTTCTGTGCTGGGACATGGCAGGTTTAGAGGGAGAACGCAAACTCATTTTCTTGTCCTTGCAAGAGTGACATAGCTTAAAAGTACATCACCAGTTGTGAGAGCTTTGAATGAAAAGCTCTATGGCAGATGCAGCGTGATTATATAGTGTTGTTATACGAGGCAGGCTGAAAGGAGCATGCTGCAGTGACAAACAGCAAATCCTATTAAGGATGTCCATGTTCTTCTCTAATGTGATTGGTCTTGTAGTGGGAGCAATAAACAGTGGTGTTCACAGAGCTCTAAAACAGCAAGAGATCAGTCAGGTTTTGTGCTGAGTTGAGGTGCACACTAATGTCGGAGTATAGGAGAGCTATAAAGCTGCACTGGGACAAACAATGTCTCTGCTCAAGCTGCCTATTTCCTATTCACTCTGATGTTGCTTGTTAATAGTTCAGCTTGAATTTCCTCTCATCTCTCTGCTGATGCTTTTATTCTAAAATGCACTTTGTTAGCAGTGTATGAAATTCACTCACCTTAGCAGGGCAAAACCTGTAGTAGAAGATAGAGATGGGAAAGGCCTAATGCATCATCCCGTTCATTTCTCAGCCGGGGCAAAATTATTCCCTGAAGTGCAGTTTCCAGCTTCTGTTATGCTTCCAGCATAAAGAAATGCTTCTGTTCTGCATGCTCTGGTATAAGTGTCACATGCAGCACTCACTCTGGCTAATCTGGGACGTGTGCTGTGCACAGTTACGTACTGCACAGCATCCTCTCAAGTGGGTCTGGGACCCATGCTGCATGCACGGTACTACTGCATGCAGTGCAGGTCCTAGATCAGCTGGAGCGGGTGTTACATGTGGTATGCATCCCAGAGAGGCTGGAATGGATGCCACATGCGGTTAATCTGGCATGTGAGGGAGTGGGCTAGGAAAGGGGGAGGGGGACTCTCACCTTATGCGCAAGGAAATTGTTGCATTTAGTTTCCATTTCCCATGGGATTGACTAGACAAACTGCAGTGTTTAACAGTTGTTTCATTCAGGAGTGAACTTCTCTGCAAAGCTTCCAGTGGCTATGGGATAGGAGGAAGCACATAACTGAAGAGCAGTTTGTGTGCGATTTAATTCCTGTCTCCTTACCCCCCCGCCCCAACTTTCAAAATGGTATAAATTTTAAATTTATCCATACCTCCACTTCCCCCCTCCCCCCCACAATACCTTTTTCCCCCTCCTCTTTTCTTTTCCATTAAAATGAACTCCTGGATTTTGGAGCACGCTTCTCAAAACAATCAGGAGATAGAGGTGTTAATAGTTTTTAAAGTTTATTTTTACTTTCATACCATGTTTTTATTTATTTTTATACCTCCCTCTACCACGAACCTTTTTTTACAATTGCCTTTTTTTTATGAAGCCTGATGCACAGAGGGTGCTGCCTTGCTTTTACCATTTCAAAGACGGATTACTGCAACTCTGTGCTTACCACCTTCCTTATGAGTCTATGCAGTAGCTGCAGGTGCCTTTGAAGACTTCTGCTGGGGGTACTCAGCGGTACTACTCAGCGGTCATCTCAAAAGACAACTGCTTCACGGAAGTTTCTTTGGCTTCCAATAAATTAGCATGCCGATTAGAAACTTTGTTATCTTTTTCTGGGTGTGTGTGTGCATTGCTCAATGTGAGCATGTGTGCCTAGTTTTACAACATCCTACTGAAGTGTCTTTCACCGCTACTGTGTTTGTTTATTGAAAAGGTTGTAGGTCACGTTCATTCTTTAACCTCCTTATTGAGCTGGCTTCTTCACAGGTGTTAACTGATGCCCTTTTCTTCATTTAATTTGGACTGTCTAACTGCGTATCACTGGCCCTGCATTGCTAAAAGGGAATCTCTAGTAGTTAAGTCAAAGATAGTGTTGCCCAACACTGCCTTGAGTTCAGAATAACCATAGTACTAGCTATATTCTTATCATCAGGTCTAGGTTCTCCCCTGCCCCTGCTGTCTTGCCCACTGACTGCCTCATTTTCCATCTTCACTGACTGGCTCTCTTGCATGCTTACTGGTCTCTGGCTTCTTTTCTGTTCCATCCATGAAGGGCACAGACCGACTGCAGGTGCTTCCTCAGCCTGATGAAGGGTGTTTGTACCTGAAAGTTTGCAAATAAGAATTTTTCCAACTAGTTTACTTGGTCTAATAAAAGATATCAAATTTATCCAAAGAGCCTTGTGTGCCTATGCTCTTAGACCAACACAGCTTCAACCTATAACCCTGAATAACTGTAGTGATACTTGAAATAACTCTGGGGCATTATGTGGTGGTACTGAATTTATTGCAATGTCATTTATACTTGAAAGCTTATTAGAGCATTTAAATGACTTGGCTGTTCATCTTGAGATTTGGAGCATGTCAATCAAAGGAGGAAAATGCTAAATCAAAGCTCTTGTTTGTTTTAACTAATGAGGCAATGTAATACTAAATGTAGAAGCCAAGTCTTCAGTGTTAGGTTGTCTCCATTTTTGACACTGTCACGTAACTGGTCTTGCACCTCCATTTCCTCACTAAAAGTGGATGCAGGTGCTGTAAAGGCTCAAACCATTATTTCTTAATGGATCTAAAGGATGTCCGTCTGTCTCCTTTTTCTAATGAGAATTAGTGTAGTACATGGAAAGGCTCTGGCTTAATAGCTCAAAATCCGTTTTCAGTCCAAAT